TGCCCTTTCATCCAGAAGTTCTGTGTCCATGGTGGTTCCTCCTGAAGCTTGGGGTTGGGGGCACTTGTGTTGCAGGCTAGGAGGTTCGCATATGAATCCTACAAGCTGAGCACCCTTCATCTGAAATGCTTAGGGTCAGAAGCAGATACAATTTCTGATTAGGGAGGTGCATTCTATGTACAATTTATTATGTGGCCCTGGACACGTCTCTTCACCTCTCTGTGCCTTATTTGCATAGTAGTTGCTAACCCTCCTTGTTGTGAGAACCAGTAATTCATACAAGCTGGGGCCTAGCACAGAGCTGAGTGCTTGGTAAAGGCTTTCTTTCTTCCTGTGCCAGTATGGCAGGCATCTTCTCTGCCTTGTGGGTCAGTCACTTGTCCCCTCTTCTGTGTAAGGTAAGGTTCCCACCCAGTCTGTACATATCAGACCCTTAGAAACTACAATGCTGGGGCTGGAGAGATGGCTCAGTGGTTAAGAATGTTTACTTACCTTGCAGAGGACCCAAGTTCAGTTCCCAGCACTCACACTGGTGACTCACAACCATCTGTAATTTCAGCTTCATGGGATCCAACACCTTCATCTGGCCATCATGGGCACCCACATGTATGTACACATACACATAAGACATACATGCATACCTACACATGATTAAAAATAAATCTTAAAACACAAAGCCACACACATAATTCCTAATAGCAGCCTGACACTGGTGACTGCAGGAAGTATCAGGACATGCCACCCTTGGTGAAGCCCACTCTTATCAAGCCCTTCTTGAGGGTGTGACTTGACCTCTCTCTGGTTTAGCCAAAATGAGCTGGGATGGGCAGCAATGGAGGAGAGGTAACCCTAGTCTCAGAACACCTCTTACAGTTGACCCATTCACCCTTGGGAAGAGCTGGGCAGGTCATCACAGAATTCTAAGGATATTGAGATATATGGGAAGGAGATCAGAGGTCAGTGACTTCTGTGGGTTTCCAGCACCCACCTCCTGCATAGGAGAAATCCCAGGACACAGAAGCAGCTTCTAAGAAATATCCTCTCTTGCAGCTCTAACTCTGGGCCGGATTTTCCATCCAAGTCCAATCTGTACCAATGTACTTAAGCAGTGACCATGGACATAGAAGCTGGAGGCTAGGGGAGAGGGTTTGGGAAGTCAGAATTCCTTAGCTTGCTCATTCTATAAGGCATCCCAGAAGCAAACGACTCTGCCTTTTTGGACTTTGAACTTTGTTTGTAGCTCTTGGTAGACGCTTCTACATATGAAAGGTTGAAACTAGGAACCAGATTTTATGGCCCTATTCCCCAAGCCCCCATCTGCACACTACCAGCCCAGCCTATCTAACCTACCATGTGATCCAGGACTCTCTCTAGCACATACTCTTCCCTTTGTCCATCCTGCACAGGATGAAGCCCAAGCCTCCTGGATGAAGCATGAAGTCCTTCAGATTTAGTCATGTTGTCACCCTTTCCAGCTTCATTTCCTACTTTCCTACCACCTGGCCACCTACAGCCTTCTTCCAGCCACACCAGGGTGCTCATAGTTGCTACCTCCAGACCTTGGCTCATGCTGGAACTCCTGAACCCATGCCCTTCCTCTCAGTCCAACAGAAATTCATCTCAGGTCCAGCAGCAATGTTGCCTCCTCTTGACTTTCTCCTTTACCATTCACTCCCCCCTCCCTGACTGTGGTCACATTCACTGATCAATCTGCTGTTCTCTGAGCCTCTTGGCCAAGCCAGGCACACATTGGGGCATAAAGCAAGAGGTGTTTGCCCTCAGGTTGCTCCCAGTTCAGAGGCAAGCAAGGGCAATATAGGAGGAAGGGGCTGACCTTGGCACGGTCTGCATGTTTCCCTGTTACCATAGCCTAGCCATCCTTTGACCACTGGTACCATCTCTTAGTTGAGTCTCCACAAAGGCAGGGACTAGGTCTGATTTCCCATGTACCAATCAGTACCTTCCCCAGAGAAGGTTAACAAGAAAATGCTGAGGTCGCTGAACTTGGGATCTGAATGTTTCCAATGTCTCTCCTCTTTATTTACCAGAAGTCTTGCATTTGTTATCATTAAGATAATGATATCTTCCTTTCATTGCATAATGGTAACATCATTTATGAGCTATTATTTTACTTGATCCACAGGTACTCAAGTAAATTCAACAAGAAAGGAACTGTCACTCCCTTTCCTTCCTTCCGCCTCCCTCCCTCCCTTCTTCCCTCCCTCCCTTCTTCCCTCCCTCCCTAGTTTCCTTTCTTCCTCCTTCCTTTCTTCCTTCCCTATTTGCGCTGTTTATTTTTAATACTTTATTTATTTTTTATGTGTATGAGTGTATTGTCTGCATGTGTGTAAGTGCACCCATGTCTTGTGTAATGCCCATGGAGGTCAGAAGGTGTCAGGTTCCCTGGAAACAGAGTTACAGATGGTTGTTAGCTACTATGTAGGTGAGGGGAACTGAACTTGGGTCCTCTGAAAGAACAGTCAGTGGTCCTAACCACTGAGCCATCTATCCAGCCCCTCTCTCTGTCTCTTTTTCAGAGACAGGGTCTCAAGTAGTTCAGGCTGGCTGTGGACTCACTGTGTAATCTAGGATGACCTTGAACTCCTGATCCACCTGGCTCTACCTGCAAAGTGCTGTGATTACAGGCATGTATAACCATGCCTGGCTTACCTCCACCTCATGATGCAGAAACTGAAGCCTAGATAAGGAGAGTGACTTACCCAAGGACACTTGAAAAGTCAGTGGTAGAGGAGGGGCCAGATTCCAGCCCTCCTGTCTCCCAGCTCAACCTCTGCCCATGAGACAATATTAGAAGTGAGTGAGTGGGCCATGAGTCCTACCTCAAGTCCTCATCCACAGAAGACCTTTCTAGAGCAAGCACAAGTCATTCAGTGACCCGGGGGTCTTCCACACCAATAGGAGGTATGTATTTGGGCACATGCACACACATGTGTCATGCTGGGTTCTAAACCCAGAGCTTTGTGTATGTTAGACCACCCGCAGGAGGCTTGTCTTTGAGAATTCACTGGTTCCGCATCCACACAGCTGAACTCTTCTTTGCCCCTATACATCACATCTGTTTCCTCCTCACAGCGTTTGCATACCACACACCAGTCTCCCATGTCTTCCACTGATGTGGTAGCCTTCCCTCAGTTTGCTAAAAGGCCCCCATCACATTCCATCCACATCACAAACTGATCCCTCTGCCTGGGATGTTTTTCCTTCTACTTCTGGCTGATTCAGTCCTTGTGGTACCGTGGCATTTTCTCAATGAGATTTGCTCCTGTGGCCTTGAAGGAGCAGAAGAAATAGAAGTGTTTCCAGGTCTCACCAGTGTGGCATGAGTCATATGCCCTGTGATTGTGATTCCTGTCATTCTCTCCTCTTCTGTCAGATCACCTCTCCTTGTATGTTCTATGGTCTCTGCCTGCCTTCCTCCTTCCCTCCTTCCCTCCTTCTCTTCCCTGCTCCCAGGCTCTAGGCACACTTAAGCCCTGGGTCATGGAGCCCTACTCCAGTCTTCTATGCTTTTCTCTCTGGGGCATTCCTTTTACCACTGTTCTAGCTTGAGGCTCATCCTCTCTCACCCAATTCTCTTCATAGACTGCCCTCCTAGCCTAATGGCCCTTTTGTCCATTTCCCATGATGATATGGCTTAAGGACACCATAAATTCATCTGACCACTGTCATTTCCCTACTTAAGGCTCTCTCAAGAACCCATTCCCACTCCAACATCTAGAGAGTGACACTCAAGGGCCTTCTTGAGACCAAGTTCCAGCCTCTCTTACTGCAGCCTCATTCATCTCCCACAGTGGCCTAGATTCCAGTCACTGAGGGTCCTGGCCCAACCCTGAGCATGCTGACTGTTCTGATTTTATGCCCATCCTACCTTCCTGAACAACCTCATTCTGCAAAAATTCTACTCATCTGTGGCCAATGGAAATAATTTCCAATCAAATCTTTCTAAGCATCAGGTGCCTTTCATACCTCACCTCCTTAATTATCAAAGCATCTCTCTCTCTCTTTCTCTCTCTCTCTCTTGCTCTTCCCCCTCACTCTCTCTCACACACACACAAACACACACAAAAGTAGTCTTATTTCTATTGTGCAGACATGAAAGTCGAAGTTGAAGAAAGGTAGGGTTAGAACTGAACTTAAGATTTGAGTCCAAAGGTACCCTGGTTTCTCTAAGGTCCTAGGTTCTCACAATCTAGCCCAGGCTGGTTTCCAACTAAGGTTCTCTGCCTCATGTGTGACTCTCTCTCTCTCCTGGACCCCAACTTCACCAACATCAGTGTGTCAGGGGCAAGTCCTAAAGCTAACGAACTAAATGGGTTTGGGTCTCCAGCACCTGGCAGTGTTCTGATACACTGTGGTACTTTTTTCCCTGTTTTTTTTTTTTTTTTTTTTTGAGACAGGATCTCAACTATGTAGCTCAGGTTAACCTGAGACTGCCTCAGCACCCCTAACGGCTGAGATTATAGGCGGTGGGCAGCAACACTGCGGGTTCTTCTTGATAAAGAGTGAGGCAGGAGCATCCGGGGTGATTTAGAAGACCAGTCCTAACCTAATCCCAACACCACTGACCACAGGCGAGGTCTTGGTATCTAGCTTAAGGAAAGAGCTGCCAAGGAAGAACACAGGCCTCTGCAACCTCCCAGCCGTCCAGCACGTGCTCAGTGTCCCGGCCCACGTTCCAGCTGCCAGGCTGTACCAATGTCTGCGGGGGGATCCCGAGGGGACAGGCTGTGGGGACAGACAGAATAACCGGTCGTGCGCCGGAGACGGACTCAGGCTCCTCTTTCATTCCTCACTGTACCTGTTCCATGCAGGTTAGGCCGTGGTGCTGCCCTGGGTCCTGCACAGAGCCGAGCTCCGGCGCTGCACTCCCCTCGAGGACATGGTACGGCCCCAGGGGGGGGCGGAGCCTCTAGTCCCGCCCCTCGCGTCACGGCCCGCCCCGTTGTGAGGTTATAAAGTCCGCGCTCTGCGCGCCGGCCGCTGTGGCCGAGCCTGGCTGGCTTCTCGGCTACCGTCGCGGAGCAGCAGCGACTACCTGCCTTGGCTCCGGTGCCGCTGCCAACCCCGTTTGGGCTCTGTCCCCGGGCTCCGGAGCTCAGCGCGAAGCCCTAGTCCCGGCATCCGGGGCATGGGCCAGGGGCGCGACGTGAGGCGGCTTTCCGCTCGACGGTGACTTGCATCTGCTTCAGCATGAAGACCCTCATCGCTGCCTACTCCGGGGTTCTGAGGGGTGAGCGTCGGGCCGAGGCTGCCCACAGCGAGAACAAGAAGGGAGGATCTTCCCTGTCACGCGAGGGATCTGGGCGATGGGGTGAGTGTCACTCCTGGGGCTTTTATCTTGGGGGTACGTCGCGGCAAGACTTGCAGGAAAGGACTCTGACCGGGTCTGATGTTGGACAACGCAGGTTGGCGACCTAGACAACCCCTTCCATTCTTCTTTTTTTTTTTAAGGTCTCAGTATGTAGCTGAGGCTGGCCGCCTTCCTCAGCATCCCAAGTGTTGGGATTGCAAGTGTGTGCCACCATGACTGGCTCCTTTTCTTTGAGGGAAACCTGGGTCTGGTTACCCTGTCTAATCCAGGCAGCCCAGATCCTAGTCAAGCCTCCGTCCTGGCACTCGCCAGTTTTGCAACATGTGTTACATCACTTCCCATCCCCCAGCTGATGGCATTGACACCACCCACTCTTAGTTATTAGTGATATTGCGCTCTCCAGCCCCCAGTACTGTTCCTTTTCCTCACCAGGTGGAGCAGGCTTTGACTGAGAGAGAGACTGATGGAGCAGAGTGGCAAAGGTTTCGAAATCCCGTGAAACAGCCACTGACTGGCGGGGGAACATGCCTGCCTGGGACAGGTGTGTCCCAACTGTCCTCTGCCCCACTCCCATCTACCAACCCAGGCCGTGGAACCCACCCAGCAGCAATCTTTGTCTGGCATGCTTTAAAGGGGGATGGGAGACCCTGGGTGTCCTTCAGGATGAAACTGAGCCAGGGGCAGAGTTCAGATCAAACACCACAGCTTTTCCATGCAAGGAAAAGCATCCCACACTCCTTACCTGTAGTTGGAGAGACTGCGGGGAGGAGGAAGCATGCTACCCAAGGTTTCCTTAGCAGATGAGTTAGCTGGGGGATGCAATACAAATCCAGGAGACCCTGGGACGTCTTCATAGCTGCTCTGGTCTATGAGTCTGCCTTGCACCAAGGCTCTCTCCCTTCTCTAAGTCTTTATACTACCTGTTGAACTTCTCCAAAGTGGAACTCTTAGTACTGCCTACTCTGCTCACCTTCATTATAAAAACAAGACATGCTAATTATGAGAGTCTTGAAACATATAGACAGAAAATAAAATTGCAAATTTTATTTGTGATCACTTCCTATTGGCATTTTAGTATGTTTATTATTTTCCTTATATAAAGTCAAGAACATACTGTAGATACAGTTTTGAATTCTGTTTTCCTTCTCTTAATGTGACATCATGAGTATTTCCTGCCATTTATCAAAATCATTTCTTAATATGCCAGTAGCCACAAGGCAACCCATACAGCAACTGTATCACAGTGTCACCACCTGATATTGGCACCATACCTCGTTGGTGCTTTCCGAGGTTGATCCACCCCTGTCTGCCCATTGCCCTTGGAGAGGTACTGGAGCTGCTGTTTCCATTCCAGGGGTGAGCTTGCACTGTCCCCACACCAGCCAACATCCTGTAACACTCCCCTCTTCACTCTGCAGTGTTTTCTCTTCACTCTTTTGATGCTCTTTAACTGGGTAAGGAAGGGACTTGCCCATGTTCATGCTTTTAAAATGTTTTCATTTCTGGGTAATTGCATATGAATACTGTCTGTTGTGGTCTCTCCTGGAGATCGCCTTCCTGGGATCTGTGTCTCCTATGTCTGCCAGGATCAGGAAACATGTTAAAGACATGGTTTTGACTAAGATTTTAATTCAGGGGGGATTTGTACTGCAGATGATTTTGATCGTGTCCTTTACTATCATATCAGAAGAATCTCTCCATGTTGTTAGATCTTGAAAATATGGTTAAAAACAAAACAAAGCTAGGTGCAAGCAGTTACATCACAGAATGCAACAGGGACTATTGTGAAACACAAACTTGTCAGTTTAGGTCTCTGGAATCTACTTTAGTGAAAGACTAGGTGGAGCAGGGAGGGTACTGAAGTGAATTTTGTTATCTTGCCATCTGCATGAGGCTTCCACCTCCTTGGTCCTTGAAGACACTCCCCAGTGGCCTAGTTTGCCTGTGCAGATCAGTTCCCACTGTTGTGAAGTGAGCACCCTGTCAGTGGCGGTGTTCAAGGAGAGAGCATGGATTCTGTGAAGGGAAGTTCTGTGATGGGTGAGAGACTGCAATAGACCCTTGGTGACTGGTGTCTTTCGTGGAGCCTGGGTGATGGGTGTTTGTTAGAAGACTGGTAGTCTGTGTTGGTATTTTCTAATTTCTGAAAGACTGTCCTGGCCTGGGAGTGGAGGCTTTAGCTAGCTGCATATGCATTCCTGCTTTTGTCCCTGGATAGGGGGCTTTTCAGGGTAGAGCCCTGAATGCATGTGAATATTCTCAAGGGTTAGGCCAGGACCCACCATGAGGTGGTGGCAATATAATTCTCAGCTGATATATTCTTTGTGGCTCCAAAGTCCTAGCTACAGATGGGATTATAGTGGGGGGCAGGTTTTGATAGAATAGAGGAATCCTAACAACTGTTGATGATTGCACAGCCTGGGTGGTAGGGATGGAGTTCCCTGTCCCTGGGGGATGCAAACAAGGCCAGCTAGAAGATGAAGCTAAGCTGCCAGATTGTTGGGGGTAACTCCGGATCTGAGAGTTGGCAGTTACCTTATGTAGTCTTGAATCACAGAATGAAGATAACACTCTTTCTCCTCCTCTCTTAATTCTGTGTGGCTTGGCCCTCCCCAGCATCACTTCACCGACTATACTAGAAACTACTTTTGCATTAACTTGGCTACCAAGGGCTCACCCAAGGTAGAAAAGGAGGGCCCAAAGTGTTATTAGCAAGTAAGTGACTCAATGGTCAGTGTGGAAATTCTGCCCCACCTCCATCCTCCCACTCCTAAATTCAGCAACAAGTACTTGAGTAATAAAAACATAGTTACCTTTTGGCACTGGATCTGGCCCAACCTTCATAGTATAGATAGGAAACAGGTCCCTAGAAAAAAGGACTAGTCCAGAGCTGTGAAAGGCAAGCTAGAACCCCTGTCTGTGGCTAGCTAGCTAGCTGCCTCAAGCCAGAGAATTGGGGGGGTCAGGAAGGCTGAGTGCTGACCAGCCCATGTGCTCTGCAGTTGCCAAATGAGTGTCCATTGCTTCCTATCTTCATGATGTGGCTGTCAGCACCTCCTTCCCAAGCTTTCTGAGGAAGGCCCCTAGCTTGCCCTGGTAGACAGATGCCAGCAGCCCACAGAGCTTGGGCTGATAGGGGACCTGCTACCTGTCCCAAATACTTCAGCCCTTACAAATGCTTTGGGTCCTATGAAGTCACATAAGTGTCTCCCACCACCTCATACCCTCTGGCCATCAGGCCACTGGTGGTCTTCCTGACCTTCCAGCATTGCCCTCAGTTCATTTCCCAGGGTCTTTGCATTTGCTTCCCTTCTCCCCAGATCTTTACATGCCTCTCTGAGCCTTTCTCTGCCCACCACCACCCCTTCCTTTGGTCTCCCCATATTGTACTTCTGTAGTCTTTATCATTCATTACCTAGTTTCATTTGTGCTTAACTGTTTAGGTGATTTTCAGCCCTTGGGAACAGGGACCTCATCTGTCCTCAGTCCTAGTGTTGAGCACTGTGCCGGCAGGTAGTAGGAACTCAGTGGATATTTGTTGAATGAATGAACCATGTGGGACTTCCAGGTCCTCTTGGCAGGAAGCCGTGTCTGTAGCTTCAGTGTACTTCCTTAGCCTTCCCTGTCCTCTCTGTCTGCTTTTGCTGTGTGTTGGGGATGCAGCTGTCTCTGTCCTTAGAGATGCACACAGTCCAGGTAGGACCTGGCCCTGGGAGCAGAGTTCCAAGTGGGTAGAGCCCAGCTTGCTATAGTCCCACGAGGCCCCAGAATATTAGAAAGCCAGAGCCAGGATTCTAGCCCTGCACTTTCTCTGGGACATGGTGGTGGCTCACTGCCTCTCTGGAGATTTCACTCTCCTGTTTTGAAAATAGTTTCAGAAATCTCAGATACTTGGCATGTGAGGGTTTGAGTTAAGGTAAGTGGAAAGTGTTTTGTAGACTAATTGGTGAGTGAATCCTTGTACTTTGTCTTGTGAGACATACAACAGGCCCTAACACTGTGGAGAGAGGGCCATTGGGGTCCTCAGAAGTCATGTCATGGTCCTGGTTCTAACTCCAGGGTGTTTAGAACCTGGTACCCTAAGAGGCATACTTCCTTGCCTTATCACTGAGGATTCTGCCTTCAGTGAAAATTGAGTATGTGAACTCTTGTCTCTGGAGCAGATTCTCTTAGGGTATGGGTTCTCACTACAGTGACTGAGCACCTCCCATTGTCAGTCAGCAAGCTGCCTTTGAGGAAGCAAGACCTGGGGAATGTATACACAGGGAGATGACATGCAGTGAGCTGCACTGTGAGCAGGAAGGAAGAAGGGCAACCATGGGTCTGGAGGATCAGGAACTAAGTCACCCTGGAGTGAGGGAAAGCTTCCTGGAAGAGGTGATACTCAGTCTGAATTTTGAACCATGCCATGATATTAGCAAGGCAGATAAGAACATTCAGGTGGCGCCAGTGAGGTGGTGCAGTGAGTAAAAGCCAAATTCACCTGAGTTTGATGCCCACAACCCATGGTAGAAGGAGAGGACTCCCAGATGTTGTCCTCTGACCTCCAAACATGTGAGGACACATCTGCATCTGACTTGGAAGTTTGAGAGTCCTGAGAGGAACCTGGAATTGTGGAGCTACTCTTGGCCACTTTGGAGGTAGGCCTAGGAGTGTGAAGTTCTGTGCAGCCTCAGCAAGCCCCTGCCTCTTGCTCATTCTTAGTCCCCTCCTGTGTAAAATGGACAGTGTTGTAGTGAGAGTGCTTTATACTGTGCTAAGGTGCTGAGCCTGTGAATCCCTTAGGCCAGTCCCCAGGAACAGGAAGCAGGTCTTCTCTTGTTAGAGCGTCTCGGAGTCCCTGGAGCCTTGCTCTGCATCTAGTTTCCCCAAAGGCTTGGGCAAGACCCTCAGCTGCTCATTAGAGGAGTGAGGAAGGCTGACCAGGTTAGTCCCTTCCAGCTCAGTTGGAGGAGTGTGATGCCAGTCCTGTCCCACTGCTCTGGGTCAGCCTCTTCCTC